GGGGAGGGGGTACTGTTTTTTTAAGGTGGTAGCTATTAACAAAATGGTGGAAGTCATAGAGAGACATAAGCTTTTTTGACCAATAATGGAATGCTGTGGTAATATCTAATGGATAATCTTTCTTGGTGATGGATGATGCCAACAGCGGGATATTTATGAACACTTTAGACGTACGGATTTGAAAAATGACCATATATGGCCATCTACGGGAGTTCTTCCCCAGCAGAGGCATTCGATGAGTGATTGGTAATACTGTCTATAAAGATTGGGGCTTTGATTGGCAGGTGCACTGTTATCTTTCTGTCCCCTGGATGCATCCCCTCCTCTCCCAGGTCCTCCTGGTTTCCTGAGTGTTATTCCGCCCCCCTCTGATGATGTCATATTTGGCTCTCACATGGATGAGGTTTTCAGGACAGTCCGACAGGGCCTGTGAGATATGGGGTCAGGGAGTCACCCGGTAGCTGAGGCTACTATAGTTGCAGGGAATCAGGATTCATCCATCTCCCCACTGCTGCTAATATCTATATATCATTGTTGCTGCATCCAGACACAATCACGCCAATTCAGTAAGGTTGTGCAAAGAGCGTAGTGCCATGACTGATAACAACCAATTAGAATTCATATCTGTACATATGTAAATGTGGTAATCTGACGTTTCATTGGTTGCTAGGGATTATTACACATGTGTCATTGCTGCGTGTACCACATAATGAAAGAGGTCTATGGGGGAAGAATAATAAAGCATTCACCAAATAATAACTGCAGGTGAATGTTTTTGGTGCATGTGCTTTAAATTATGGGGAAAGATTAACCACCTGTGAATGTTTGACGAATGTCACATTCACTGCTTTATTAATACAGTATGCCTGTATGCGTGTAACTTACAGCAGTCATTCAGAATTCCTCTCATTGATCTGACTACAGCAAAATGAAATGTGATTGTTTGCCTTGTGCAATTTACACGTCATTCATTATGGCTCTTTGCAAACTCACTGAATAATGCACCAGAAAATGAATAGGCAGAATGGAGTGGCCAAAGGGGCACCCTGCAATTGTCATTGTCAGTCATGGCGAATGGCCTTGATTTAATAGGGACAAAGCAAAGTCTAGTCTCTTATCAACCAATCAGAACTCTTCTTTTACCGCCCTGCCTGCCCTGAACTGCTGAAATCTAGCTGGTTATGATAAGGTGTTCTGCTATTGGCTTACTATTGGCTTAAGCTAATCTTCTATTTGGCTTCATTTACCATGTTATTAAACAGAAACGTATTTATTAATAAAAGGCGCGTTTACGATGTACAACATTCAGTAGTTAATCAGATTTAATTTCATTGTGACCAGGTCAGTGAACAGTAAATTATGTTGCTATAGGTTACTGAATCTTACCATTATTGAAAATCTAAATAAATCGCTGTATCTAATGAATCTATGTAAATTACAAGGAGTATATAGACAGTGCCACCTCATATTCCTATACATTTGGGCCACAAAGTTGGCAAGCCAGTTAAAAAAATGAAACATCAGATGGGGTGACTGTGGGTTACTACACAATGCACATCATCTATGCCCAATGTACTACTGTACTGAATCCACCTGACTGCAGAATAGAACATAAGAAAATAAGTAATAAAGGGATATTATGCACATCAACCCGAGTTTTATTTTATTTTCTAAGGAAAAATTACATCTGAATGCTCATTGGTTGCCATGGACATCACCTCTGCTTGATAGTATACTTCTGTCATTGTAGGCTGTTTTTTTTTTTTTTTTTCTTAAACTGAGCATTGCAGAGACATAGGGTGCTACCATAGGAACATTACCTCTGCTTGATAGTGTACCTCTGTTGGAGCAGTTTTTTTGGAAAAAAAAGGCTTTGCAGAGGCATGGGGCACTATCATAGGGACATCGTCTTTGCTTAATAGTGCACCTCTGTCGTTGGAGCAGATTTTTGGAAATACTTTCAGAGGCATTGGGCACTACTATAGGGACATCACCTCTTCTTGATAGTGTACTTCTGTCGTTGGAGCACTTTTTTGGAAAAACTGAGCATTGCAGAGGCATGGGGCACTACTACAGGGACATCACCTCTGCTTTATAGTGTACCTCTGCGTTTGGAGCAGTGTTATTAAAAAACTGAGAATTACAGAAGCATGGGGCACTACTATAGAGACACCATTAGGGCTCCAACTAATGATTATTTTCATAATCGATTAATTGGCCGATTATTTTTTCGATTATTCGGATAAAAAAATACCATCCTTAGTTCAAAATAAAATACACAAATGCAGTGTTACAAGTGAATAAAACTGCATGCACAATTTTTTGCAATCGTGCTGAAAAGGATTTTTTCCCGCCTTTGGTAATTAAAAAAAAAATATTTGTATTGTAAGCACATGGCGCCTGAATAGCCTCAGCCAGGGAATGACAGCTGTCAGTGGCAAGATTCCGCAGGCAGCAGCTGAATGTAAATACAGCAGGTAGTGGGCAGGTGTAATAGCCAACCTGTTATTGGCCATTTCAAACTGCAATAGCCAATAGCAGGCTGGCTATTGCACCCGTCCACTGCTTGCAGTGCCCTCCTCCCAGCGTGGAGGAGAGAGCTAGGTGATCAAACCAACTAATCAATAATGAGAATAGCTGACAACTATTCTCATAATCAATTAATCGATTCATATGTTGCAGCACTAGACAAAAAAACTGAGCATGGGACACTAGCATAGGGGTATTAGCTCTGCGTGATAGTATACCTCTGTCACTGAAGCAGTTTTTTTAAAAACTGAGCATTGCACAGGCATGTTGCACTAGCACACCTGCTATGGTATGCTAGTGCTCCAATGCTCCGTTTAAAAAAAAACAAACTGCTCCAATGACAGAGGTATACTATCCTGCAGAGTAGGGATGTCCCGATACCGATGCTAGCATCGGAATAATGGGCGTTTAAATAGGCCACTGATGCACAGGAGGAGCCGAGGGACGTCTCGGTGCACTTCCGCGTTCCACGGTGGAACGCACGCTGTCCCGAAACCCGGAAATGCGGAGCGTGCGCTCAGTGTAAACAAAATAACCTGTGTAATGTTTTTGACGTAAAGCTCTTACCTTCCAAGAATGCCAGACTGTTAAGATGGCCCACTACCAACAGAAATCCTAGCCTTCTGGTCGTGTGACCTCTTCACACCTACTCCCCTCCCCAACCCAGAGTTGCAGAAGAGCTTTCTGTCTGAGAAGAAACAAAACGTCTACACTTTCTTGTGGCAGAGCTAATTCGATCTCTAAATAGAAATATCTGAGTTGCCATTGCTGACTTGCTGTCTTCATCATCCTAGTTGATGAGTTAATGACCTCGAACAAGTATGTGTTGTTAGGTATCCCGACACTTCATGGCTGCAAACTTGTCAGTGACTCCCACACGCATGATTTCCACAAGTTAACCACAAAAAAAGTATATATCAGAATGCTGCGCTAATGCATTCACTAATATATGCATTGTGGTAACGCTCTTTGATGCAATGCACATTAACCCATAGGTTTATGAGTGTTGCACTGCAGTGCCGTTCACTCCAAATAGTACCCCAACGTACATATGATCAGTTCTCAATGCACATACACTGTGTCTGCTGTGCACTGCCCTGGGAAAAATAGTGCAGGTGTGTTAGTAGATTTGTTGTGGTGTGTTGAGATTATTAAAAATGAATAGATGGACATAATGCACCGTACCTCGGTGCATGTGCGTTGATGCACTGCAACTATGAGAATGGGCCCTAAAATGACCATTTACTGCTCAGATGTGAATGGTTCAAAATTAGGGAAGGAATTAGGTTTTGTTCAAAGAAAGGCTATGATTTTTTTTTTCTGAATGTACATTATGGACAACAAGTTATCAATTTAGATGTAAATCGCGGTTAGCTGAGTTCTCCATTGAACCGATCCTAATGCAAGATCACTTTTAAAGCATAAGTACACTTTTAAGACAAATGGAGATTATCCTTAGTGCTCCTTTGCCCTGACGTAACCTAACCCACCCGTGTCCTTTACTGATGCGTACTTACCTTGATCGGACGATCGCTGCCTCCAGTATTTGTTTACAGCCAGTGCTGCAAGTCTCAC